GTTTTTCCTAAAAATTGGATAACAATTGAATTTATACGCGGTTTTAAAGATACGTGATATAACTTGATACAAATTAAGAAGACAAATTAATATTGAAATTAACGATAATAAAATAAATGCAAACCACAAAATTGAGTAGCCTTACCTTCTGAGTTTGATCACCCTCGGGCCAAAAAATATCTCAACTAGAGTTAGAACTGGAAAAAAAAAGATGATAAGAACTAAAGATGGTCAGTATAATGCTTTTTTTTGCGTATTACAATGTGTCCTACAAATGATCATAACCCTCCTTTATATAGTGGGGGTGTTCTACTTTTGGTACAATTATATACAAGGTAAAAGAAATCTCATGCTTTGCTAATTAATCAGCATCTTCGTGATACGTGCCGAGATTTTCGCCGTGATCCTCGACTGATTGTGGATATTTCGGCTTTTCATTATTTGGCTTGGTAAGTTTCCATCGATCTTGCTCGGTCTCTGGGTCACGAGCTCGACGATCTAACTTTGTGCCTTAGTTCGATATAACCCGAGCTCGAGCTTTGACCTACCATATTTCAGCTAGGGCTGTTCATTCAGATCAGATATCCGAAATTCGAACCGATCCATTCAATTTCGGATTTCAGATTTCGGATTGGATCAAATTTTGGATTGTGTTTATTAAAATTTCGGATTTCGGATCGGATTCGGACTGGTATATTTTAATCCGATCCGATCCGAAATTCAAAATTATTAGGTAATGTATAAATACTACACTTTTATTTCGGATAGCCAGACTTCCTTTGCATCTTCCTCCAAGTTATTACCTTTACAATTGCTAGATTTAGCTATATTGACATCATAGTACTCTCATAATTGCATAAACATGAATTTTTCTTAATGTATTGCCTTTTTTACAAAGAAAATATACATATTAGTTTGCAACTTTGAGGCATAATACGATCCGAAATCCGATCCGATCCAAACTTTAAAATCCGATCCAATCTGATATAATTCGGATCGGATTCGGATTGCATTTTCTAGAATCCGAAATCCGAAATTCTAATTCAAAATGTGCTAAATCCGATCCGATCCGATCCATGCACAGCCCTAATTTCAGCCCCGATTAATCAAATAATGGACAAACCCGATTTTAACCGTATACAGACCCCTTGTTATACCCTTTGAATATAACAATNAATTGACATTGACGGAGTATCAAAGATAACCTCAAAACTTATAGTCTTATATGTCATGATATTTTGGTGGGTATAAATGCAAATCATATAAAAAGAAGAGAGGGTGACTAACAAAGGTTGTGGTGGAGTGAAAAGTACTCTTTAATCATTAACCAGCGGTCTCGAGTTCGAGCCCTAGCTATAGAATTTGGATTTACTCGGGCCCCAATACAGGTACCGGACACCAAGTGGGAAATCAAAAAAAAAAACTGAGAGGGTAACTAGTACACGCTTCAAAGGACAAGAGTAACTTAAATAGCGAAAAAGAAATAGTATAAGTATTCTGTTTACAGTTAACAAACTTTAATTTCAGCCAAAGTTGTAGTAATAAAAATGTATAGCTCTAGTATGCAGATATTAATTAATAAAATGAAAAATTGCAGGTGATAAGAGCGTTGGGAATGGGGAAGGTAATCCAATCTAAGGACGCCAAGTTTTCAGAGGGAGATATAGTACTTAGCCATATTTGCCCTCAAATTTGCTTCAGAAGATTACTCCTGCAATTGGGATTGCGTTGCCCGATTATCTTAGTTGCTTAGGTATATACCTAATACCTCTCCTCCTCCAATTCTTAAACTTAAATCAAGATCACGTAATTATGTGTTTTTTTTCTTCACCGTGCTATAGGAATGCCTGGTATAACTGCGTGGGTGGGCATAGAAAAGATAGGAAATGCTAAAGCGGGATCGAATGTGTACATATCGGCTACAGTGGGAGGAGTTGGAATTATAGCTGGACAACTGGCCAAAGTAAAAGGGTGTCGAGTTGTTGGAAGTGTTGGTTCGGATGATAAGGTATTATTTATTTTACATCCCAAATTATTTACTATATGCCCTTAAAACTTACACTATATAATATGAGACTTTTTCTCTTCCAATTACAAAATTTAGGTTAAGATTTTACAACTCGCTAGAATGATTTCAGAAGCTGCTTTGTACAAGCTATCTTGATATAACTTGGTTCTGTAATGTACTCAAATCGAATTAAGGAAATCAAATACAGAAATGGAAATAGAGTGTTTTTTTGGGACAATTTTCTGATATATTGATTAAAAAAAAACTAACTATTACAACGGAATGAGAAATGACTACTCCTAACTAGTCTCCATAGCTGAAGAAGAGAGTGAGGAAAGAGGAAGAGGAAATACTTCTGTTGAACGATGCCTCCTTCTCTTTGATGCAGTTGGTTATAACAACCAACAACTATGTGGCTAAATCGTGGCCCTTGGGGTTCATTAAAGCTTAAACTAATCCTAGTCGTCCATTTGAATTTCTGTTATTCCTTCCTAATTTCTGTTATTGCTCTTCTTCATTTCGAATCCAGCTGCAACCTTCATGTTAGATCATAACAGGTTCCTTAAAGTTTTATAGTCTTTTATAGAGGAGATAAATTAATTTGACTTGTAATTGATATGGATATTCGTTTTTTATTTATGTGTAGGTGAAGCTATTGAAAGAAGAATGTGGTTACGATGATGCTTCTAATTATCGTGTAGAGATAAATTATGATGCTGCATTAACCAAGTAAATTTCTTTGTTTCTTCAAAAAATTTAGGTTTTTGGTAGTACTAATTACTAGCTAGTAAATCTTTTTATTTTCCTTGGACTACTTTTCTAGCGATTGACATGCACACTATTATTGTATTACCTTTTACATATATTTCCCAAATGGGATTGATGTTTATTTTGACAATGTTGGTGGTAAAATGCTTGAGGCTGTTCTTAATCATGTTAACCACGGAGCTCGTATTGCACCCTGTGGGATGATATCCAAGTATAACAATGTATCCTTCAATGTTTTAATCCATGTATAATATGTGTATAATCATATATAATCTATATATACTAATTAGAAAAAGTAAACAATAAATCTGACTGGCTATTTGTGTAAAAATTTCTAACTTTTGTACAAACTTGGGGGCTTTTTTCTTTCTTTCGCTATTAAAAACGTATAGCTCAGTGCACAAAGTATCTCGCGTTCATGCAGCATCCAGGAAAGGGTTGCACCCTAAAGGTTATGACATAGACAATCTACTCTAATGCAAGCATTAGCGATTGCTTTCACGGCTCGAATCCATGACCTATAGGTCACACGGAGACAACTCTACTGTTGCTCCAAGTCTCCCCTTCTTCCTTTCAAGCTATTGAAAAATAAAAATAAAAACTCTAATCACCAATATTTTTATTTTTATTTTATTTTGCAGGTTTGGACAGAAAGAGAAGGGGTTCGGAACCTATTGAACATGGTGGGTAAAGAAGTTATGATGAAAGGGTTTATGGTGAGTTCATATTATAATCACTTTGAGGAATTCATAAAAGAGATGGGAGTTTACTTGAAAGAGGGCAAAATAAACTCCAAACACAAAATCTACAATGGTATTGAGAGCTTTTTGGAGAGTTTAGCATCTCTATTTTCTAGCTCCAATGTTGGAAAAGTAATTCTTCAAGTAACTCCTTAAACTACTTCTCCCTATGCCTTCCCTATTATCCTTGGAATAAATATGTGTCTATTTATGCTTGTTAGTTATGTTTGTTCTTACGAGGAAAATGTCACCCTCCATCTGTAAGAGCAGGGGCGGATTTATAGCTTAGACTATGGGACATGTGAACTCATGATCTCTCTATCAAACTAGATATTTTTTTTATATATTTTTTATAATTGGTCTAATATTATCTACGGGCCTCATGCTTCAAAAATATTGAATAGTTCATTTGGTTGAATACTGAGTTATTTACCCAAAGAAACGTGGATCTATTCCTACTTTATACTTTCTTTTCTCCTTTCTTTAGTAGTGCACTCATATTCTAGAAATCATGGATCCTCATTTGTGTAAGAGGAGGTATAAGGATGTTTGTTTATGTTTATATATATATATATATATATATATGTGTGTGTGTGTGTGTGTGTGTGTGTGTTAATTTGCATAGATTAAAAAAAAGATTGATGGTTGTGACATGTGTTGAATCTCTAAGTATTCTCTTTAGAATGCTCTAAATGGTGCGTATAAAAGAAATAGTTTTAGACTAAAAAATGTAGACGAGCAAAAGTTTGCTTTAATAAAGTGACTCGGGATGACCTTAAGACAGGATATTCAAACGAACGTATCAAGGTACGGCAGTGCAGCTCAGTCTGGGCTGAGGAGGATTGAGACTGTGAAAGATGCAACAAAAGTAAATGACTTTTACCAGTTTCTTGAGTGAGAGGTTAGATCCAAAATCCGAACTCTAGTATTTTAATTTACCTTTTGTCTAAAATATCAATTTTGATATGGCAATTATTTTTGTTATGTTCCCTCAAAGATTCATACTTAAAATCCAGATTCTTCACTCACTAGTTTCCAATGATATATAATATGAAGGCAAATAAACATGATATTGACTAAATCAGACTGTAACAACATCAGATAAGTTTAACAATTTGAACTAAAATTAAGACCTTTGGCTCCTTCCTAAAGTAGTCCAATGAGTTGGCAATTTCTAGTGGATTAACACACATAACAATAAAGTTGGAGCAACAGTAAAGTTTCTCCGTGTGGCCAATAGGTCACAGGTTCAAACCATGGAATCAGCCACTGATGTTTGTATCAGGGTAGCTCTGTCTATATCACACTACTCGGGCTGCAGCCCTTCCTCGGGCCCTGTGCGAATGCAGAATGCTTTGTGCATCGGGTTATCCTTTTTAAAACGCATAACAGGATAACAAACCAAAGGATAAACCATGGCAGCAGAAAATCCAGCTCCATATTAAGTGTTTCTCCACCTTTGATTTTCCAATCAAAACGTTGGATCATTGCACAAGTGTCCTATGCAATACTGCTGCAGCAAGTCCAGCACCGGGGCATCCTCTCCTTCTCCCACCAAATGGCATATAACAGAAGTTCTGGTCTTCTTTAATGGCCTCCAATTCATCAGGCTCGATAGCAAGGTTCTCGTTTAAGTTAAGATATCTCTTTGGTACAAAATCATCTGCATCAGCCCATACATTTGAGTCCCTATTAACTGCGTAAAGGTTGACTACAAGCCTAGAATCTTTAAGTATTTTGTATCCATTGATCTCACAATCTTCCCTGCATTTTCGGAACACTAAGGGCAATGAAGGATGTAACCTTAGAGTTTCCTTGACAACAGCTTGTAGATAAGGGAGATTTTGTATATCTAAATCCTCAGCCAATCTGTTTTTTACCCCAACTATTCTGTCAATCTCTTGCTGTAGCTTCTTTATGGCTTTTGGATGGTTTAGCAGCTCCGCGAGCGCCCATTGCAAAGCAACACTTGTTGTATCAGTTCCTCCCAAGAACAGATCTTAGTTACATATTTGGCCTCTCGATCAAAAATATTTATATCTCCTTTACAATATACATTTGTTATATACTAAATATACATAATATATACATTTTCCAACTATTATTTTGGAAATTGCCTTTCAAACAGGACCTCGAGAGGCAAGCTATGGAAGTACCGCTAGATAGGGAGCGAGCTCCTACTTCACTATCTGATGAAAATGGAAGCCCTTATTTAAGATTCAATTCATAAGGCTAATTTTATGTTATCGTGAGGCTTTGGGCGGACGAGCATTTAAGTTAATTTCTATAAATAAATAAAAGAACCATCAACCGAACCTAGCATTTTTTAGATAGAGCATAGGTATATATATGTGAAAAGTCACTAAAATTTCAACAATTATTAAAATTTCAAACATAAAGGTTGAACGCGTTAAGTTTAAGTCGTGGATCCATCTTTCTAAGGAGATGATTCTTACCAAGAAAAGACCCTTGATTCTATTTCTAGTGAGCTTTATCTCAGTATTTTTATCCTCTACAATTTCCAGAAAAATATCCATCATATCTTTATTCTCTTCACTTCCGGCGCGACTTTCCTCTTCGTGTTTCTTGATTATCCCATCCATAAACTTATCAAACCTAAGCAACAACGCTTTAACATTTCTTCCAACTCCAAGAAAACCATATTTCTTCAATTGGACCAAACACTTCACCTAAGCTCAACTGACCTGAAAGTAATGTTATTCCCTTAGCGATTTCTCTTATCTCCGCGCTCTCATTGACATTAGTTGAGGTTCTTGTGCTCGTGATTATTTGTCATAGCCATACGTTGATTTCCAACATGACAAGTCTCCCCTTATTCTGAACACTTAGCGAAAAATTCCAATAATTTCATCATTTCCTCCTTCCTAACATCAGCAAATTTAGTAATCTGTTGAGGGGAGAGAATCTCTGTCATGCAAATTTTCTTCATAAAAATCCAATACTTGCTATAGTCCAAAGTGGAAAACAAGGTGTCTTTGTAATTTGGTACTCTGAAGAGCCAAATTCTGGCCTAGCAGCAAAATTGATATCATTGGTCTTAAAAATTTCTTTTGTTATGGCACCGTTCGACACTATATATGATGATGATGCACCAGCACGGATCAACATGAATGGTCCATAGCGCAATGCTAATTTCTGAAACGACTGGTGTAACACTGAACCAAGAAGATACATATGACCGATGATTGGTAGGGGTGACAATTTGAGCCCAAACCCATCCAATCCGCCTAACCAGCCAAGAGATTAATGCGTTGAGCTATAAATATTTTAGCTAATGGGTCATTTTGGGTTGAGCCCAAGTTAATCCATTAGTTTTTATAACTCATTCTCACCTATTAAGTAGCCCAAATACAACACATAAAACTCACTCAAAACAAAGGGATCTCAACCCAACTTATCTAGAAATTTACTTAGTTACCCCAATTTCACTTTTTTTTTGGATTTTTAATTTTCTATCTTTCGTTTTTCTGCATCACCCTATCCCCTACCCCCTACCCCACAAAAAAATACTTTTTTTTCTTCGTATTTTCAATTTTCTACACC